TTCCATTCCGGCTAGCAGCGAGTACAGCAATAAGCGAAAGGCACTTACGTGCAAGATTAGACAGTGCTTACGAAAGGACCGCGAAGCCTGGTGGTCAAAACGTGCGGGTGAGATGCAGTCAGATGCTGCATCTGGCAACAGTCGGAAGCTGTTCCAGCTCATCCGCGCCACCGACAGCAAGAAACAAGGTGTCAGAGAGACAGTCTGTGAGGCAGATAGCACCCCAATTACCAGCCTGAAAAGGCGCCTGGAACGCTGGGCAGAGCACTTCGGGAAACAGTTTAGCTGGACACCAGCTTCAATGTCTGCCGTCATTAGCCCCAGTGCTCCTTGGTCGGTTAGTACCGACCCACCAACCGAAGTGGAGGTCCGTAAGGAACTCCAATTGTTAAAACGCCATAAGGCACCCAGCCCAAACAATCTACCCCCGGCTCTTTTTAAAGATGGTGGCGAGACTCTCGCAATAGTTATAACCGGTTTATTCAGGAAGGCATGTGAGACAGAGAGTGTACCACCAATGTGGAACGAATCCATTATCGTCCCCATCTTTAAAAAGGGTCAACGTAATTCAAGTGACAGCCATAGAGGTATCAGTCTGCTACCAGTCGCGTCTAAAATATTGGCTACTGTCTTGCTCCGCAGGCCAGGTAAAACACGTGAAGGATTGATTCACGAAGAGTAGGCTGGTTTTCGTTCAGGTCGTGGATGCATTGATCATGTGTTCACCCTTCGTCAGTTGTTGGAACACCGCCACACGTATTGCAGACCAACAATCGTTGTGTTTCTTGATATTAGGGCTGCCTTCGATTCGTTGTACAGAATTGTGCTCTGGAACTGTCTGTTAGAGAGGGGTGTACCTGAGAAGTTTGTTTACATATTTAAAGCCCTGTACAGAAACACCTCAGATAGAGTGAGGGCATCCAACTAACTATCATCCAACCAACAGTGGGGTTAGACAGGGTTGCCCGGTCTCTCCATTTCTCTTTAACTTTGCCATCGATGATATTCTGGAGTCAGCTCTGAAGGATGTGTGTGAAGGTGGTGTAGATCTGCTCCATAGAGATAAACTTTTTGACCTCGAGTATGCAGACGATATCGTCTTACTGTGCGATAGCATGGAGGCTTCCCAAATCGCATTTAATCAGTTGGCGATCAGTGTCTGTAAGTATGGTATGTTTTGCGCCGTCTAAAAGCAAAGTACTGTTACAAGATTGGCAGGAGCCTGTACCTGCACTCACTCTTGCAGTTGAACCGTTTGAAGTTGTTGGTAAGTCTGTGTATCTGGCTAGCTGTGTGAGTGCTGGCGGAAGGGTGATGGATGAGATTTCCAACCGTTTCATGAAGGCTAGGGTGGCATACATCAACTTGAGCCATCTCTGGCGCCGTCGCGACGTTAGCCTGGCTGTCAAAGATCGAGTATACAATGCTTCAGTGAGGGCTGTCTTGCTCTACGCCTGTGAAACCTGGCCTCTCCGAGCTGAGGATGTGTCGCGGCTCTGAGTATTCCATCATCGCTGTCTCCACAGGATTGCTTGCGTTCGATGGCATCATCGCGTAAGTAATTGTGAGGTTCGGTGGCGTGTGTTTGAACACAGTGGAGATCACCATTTGTTAAGTGTATTCATCTGGAAACACCGGCTTCGGTGACTTGGACATGTGCTGTGAATGTCATCCCAGAGGCTCCCGTCTCTGTTCGCTAGCCCTGGGGCGGGATGGAAAAGGCGGGGAGGTTGTCAGTCCATGATGTGGCGTCGTGGGATGAAGGATATTTGTGCTAGGTTAGCATCGTTTGGTGCGTCACATCTCCTTGTCTGGGGTCCGAGAGATAGCTCGAATCGATGGCCGGAAACGTTATCGGATATAGCCAAGAATCGTAATCAATGGTGAACGTGTTGCAATTTCCTTCTTTCTTCCTTTCCTGGTGATAGCTGACGAATAATGTTTGGACTTGTTAAGTATAACTGTTTTCCTTCCAGATGAAGCTCATTTTTTATTTTAATCTATGTTCTTTTATTATTATTGTGTGGCCCATTGTCTTTGTGTCATATTGTACCAATTTTTTCTGCGTTTTATAAATAAGGGAACTGGCAAATTTATATTGGAGTGGTCCAATGCAACAGCTTTTATTTCACGTGCCGGTTGACTAGGTTCTTGCAGAAAAATGTTACTAGTAGGCTAGTGGCGAAGTATGTTTCGCGGAGAGATAATCACAGCCGTCTACGGAGAAATTCTGCTTCGGTATTATTTCTAAACTCGAGTCTTAGTATCAACATCTTTTCGGCAGCGAATTGGACCTTTTCAGGCGTTTTCTTTGGTTTTAGATTCCTGTCTGAGCTTATATGGAAACCAATTTCCAAGATGATTCCTCAGAGGTTTCACAATTTTTCTTCAATGGACTCCTCATTACATAATTTCCAGATCCTAGAGGAAAGAGAGTAAATTCGGTTTCTCTTTCTGCTTAGAGGCACACAACTTTGAAAGCCGATAACCTGTCCGTTACATGTGGGTTTTTTGTAGATGGATCCTCTCAGCGAGTTGTTACCTTTCGTTCGCAGTTGAACATCAAAGAAATGAAACATTGGATCAGATTCAACTTTCAGAGTGATGTTGATGTTTTTGCTGGCATTATTGAAGGTTTGGAGTAGGTTTTTTAGATCTAAATTCTCAAAGCAAATAATGGAAGTATCATCAGTGTTTATCTTGCAGCGATGAAGTTCGTCGATAATTGGTGATGAGGAATTGTTTCCTAGGCTAGTCGTGAGAGGTTCCAGAGGATAAGCCGTTGCTACCCCATCTATTTGCCTGCATATTTCGTTATTGAAACCAAAGTAGAAGTTAAAGGTGCAATACAGTAACAGCTCCTTTAGATAATGGTTTGGTATAATGACTTCGATGCTAGTGGATTGAATGAAGTCAAAAGAGAAGCTTATGGTTTCTGTAAGAAGGCGTTAGTAAAGAGATAGACTATATGCAGGGAGACCATTTTCTTATCTACCAAGTTGACATTCTTAATTGAATCAATATAATCGACTGCATCCCGAGAATCTTACGAGTCATCCCGACATTGAGAATCTTTGTTATCTAGTATTAGGCAGAGTGAGACGTCTTTTTTCTGTACTTTAGGAAGGCGGTAAATACTCACCGTTGTAGAACCATATGGACGAAGTTGCTTGTATAGTTTTGTACTAATAATCGACTGATCTTTCATTTTCGTCAATATCTTTTTCAGCTGGAGCTTTGTTTGTTCAGTGGGATCTTTCTGGGAAGGCTGTTTTTGAAATAAAGTATCGCCAGATATTATCGCTAACAGTTTACTTAGGTAGTCTAACCGTGTCATTACAGAGTTTTCGTTAATCCCCAATTCTTTCATCTACTTTCGATGTTCTTTGGAAAGGATCTTACGAAAGCGGGGTTTTTTGTTGATCTAATGGAAGAAACAATTCAAAATTGTTGATTTAAAATGGTCTGTACTACCACATGAGACTGGGATCATATCATTCGTCTGGCTAATTACGTTCTCGAAATGGACCTTCGTGCTCAGCTGATTCACTTTTGCGGTAACGTCAAAAAACTTAGACCCAAGTGCTAAGAATTGCATTTGAATAGGTGATAGTGAGACACCAGGATGATTGAACACGTACTTTACTAGGCAACTAGGAAGGCCTCACAAGTTCTCTGTGAGTTATCTGAAGGCGAACGAATATCCCTCAAGAACTACGCCAGTGCAGTTACAAAGAAAAGTGCAGATGATATCATAATAAAGCAAAACCAAAACCTGAAGTCCGTTACCAAAGAAACGGCTTTTCCTACCATAATAAACCTAGTTTTAAAATAAGTAGAAGAAACTGAATTCACTTACAATAACTTAATAAACACCAAACTGGTATGTAGTTGCTTGGGTTTTTTCTCAATTGGCATGCTCTCGACCTGGCTTTGAAGTGGTTACAAATACATCCTAAGCGTCTGTAATTCAACTATATTAGTCAGATCAGTCCTGAAATATATTTTCTCAAATCACTTCAAAATTTCATTTTATTCAGACTCATTGCTCATCAGAGGTCATATATAAATACCTGGGTCTATTTTGTGTTGTATGACCAGCATTTGTAGGTCTGTTAGTGTACGACTTAGGTCAGTAATTAGATGCATCGCATCAAGGTTAGTGTAGTGTAATATGTCAACAACACAAGCAGTATGTTTGTGACCATAATTACACAGCAATTTCAACCAAGTCCTGGAAAGTATGATGACGTACGCACAGCTAGGCTTGACATGTCAAGATGATCTATATTGGAACATTTTAGACATGAAAGCGACTCTTGTAAATCCAGTCAACTCACCAAGCACAGGTTGTCTAGATCTTTATTTCAAATCATAACAGGAATTGGCATACACATAAGTTTTAAAAACGAAACATGTCCAGCACTCACAGTTATCTCACTCATTACTGAGAGTATATGAGCCAGCTAATATAAGGCATGTGTGATTTTAAACACTGATTCCAGATGTTCATCCATGGTTGGTTTCCAATTAGACACTTGCGCTCGTTGTTTTCGGTCTCATTGATCCTAGTTCCAAATTTCCACACAATTTTCCCCACGTTCGGCTTCATGGATCTCATGGGTTTTACGAACATAACGTAGAGAACCTTATATTAGATACAATTACGTTGTAATCAACTAGTCATTCCACTGAGAAAACATACTCCTTGACGTCTTTGCCTGTGATTGAGATAGCATGACTTCGCTTTCTGATATAATTAAGACAAGGAGGACCAGTTATGCTAAATGAAGACTAGTTCCCCATTTATTAAAAGCAATGATACTTTAGGAGACAAGAGGATATTGACGTTTACTCAAGACTCGTCATATAAGAACGCAAGTTATTATCCCCAAATTCTACAGCACTTAACGCACTTAAACCAAATTAAAATCAGAGCACAAAACAGATCACAAAAAATGTGAGATTCATTTCGGAATCCAGACTAGTTTATTTAATTAATGACACAGAAAAATCTTGTGTTGAAAATGTTAATGAAGTATATAATTTCAACTAATAAAAGTGTCTTCACGGTCAAAGACTGCTTATTGTCCTCTTATGTTTTCGTGGCACAGTTAAGCTTGTGTATTCCAAATGCGATCAAATTTCCTACTTATCGCCAGTATCGTTATGCTCATGCTTTAAACCACCAGGTTGCGAAATTAAAGACACGCTCGAAATGTTTTCAGCAAGCCACAGTAAGTGTACCACAGAAATGCTGAATAACGAATCCTCACAGTTATTAGGTTTTAGACCTGTAAAGTGTTCCCTACTGCTAACAAATTACTTTATGATGCTAAATATATCCCACCCAAGAACTGATCTCGGAAACAGCGACAACATTATTCCATTGAAAGTTGTGACTTAAACTAAATAACCTGAAATTTCATATTTTGAAAAACTCACACGAATCGTGTAAATTACGTACAATTCTTTAGTTAGTAGAGGAATGTCACAAAATTTCAGCCTACTAATAAGAAATCTATCCCTAGGGTTTATAAGACGCTTGATCTTTGCTGCATCCTGCGTAGAGCTTACAACAAAGGTATTAAGATCTTGATGGTCCACAGGTTATGCGTGGAATCTACAATGTGTAGTTTCCTAAATACAACGACGCATCCTTTGTCCATTGTGATGTAGAGAATCAAAGCTATTCCTCATTTCAGTTGGAATTCAGACATTTCACTTTAAAAAGGTGGATGTTTACCGCTGCTGATTAGATCGGAATGCAGACAACTGAGTTTTCTAGCAACAAGAGAGAATATACTAGCATGTGGTGTAGAAGTGTAAAATTATACTTCCTTCATACTAACGTCAGTAAATGCAACATAGAGAAATCCTTAACCCAATCACAATTTGAAATAAAATATATGCGAACAATGTGCCAAATATTGAATATTTACATCCAAATACGCATAATAATTCGCAAAGATTACGTCATAAGTATCGAAAACGATTGGTACTAACATACTGAAACAATCGCCAGTTATGATGGTTAATTCGCACTAACTGGCCAAGGTCACATGCTGAAGGAATTGTTGACAGCATCATCACTGCTCCTGACTACCTAATACAGCATTTCAACTACTCAATGAGTCGGTGAGAGCTAGAAAGAAATTGCATCGAAACAACTCACACCATTTTGTCAGTTTATTCGTGGTACAGAGACTTAGACATTACGAATCCCGAGCCCCTAATCTAGCAGTCGAGCAAACTCCTGGAGTTTCGGCCAGTCTGTCACACCAACTCCAACACTTACAACCATAAGAAGAGTGGATTAAAGACATAAATCAAGGGTTGTCAACTCCGTGGTTCCAATTCATGATCCAGCAACTGATTCACAGGCTGCGGCTGTTAATGTTCACCGATAGTTAGATGTATACTAACGGGAGATCTGATAACCAAAACTTCTATAATATTTGTTCCGCGTACAAATCAAAACACCAGATCGATCGTCCAAAATAATAAGCATAATACGGGACAGAAATCATAGTACGAGGTTCCTTGCTTAACTAGCAAGGGATAGTAATAATAATAATAATTTGCTTTATTCCAAAACAGTACATGTGATACAGAATGGAATTCTCAGCATTTTTTAATACAGTATTGCATCCAGCAAGTACATTATCAATAAATAAAGTTCTACATAGATTAAGGAAATTTCAGTTCATTATGAAAACAACATATTGGCATGTCGGTAGCAAAGACAAAGTTGAACAATGTTTGAAGGTGTTAGAAAAGTAGGTGCAATCATATTTACTGGAGTAAGCGGAAGAAAGAAACAAAGCAGCACATAATAGAGAAAAAACAGAGAGAGAAAAGGAAAAGTAAGAAAGAAAACTTTGTACCTATAAATGATATGAAATGAAAGGACGAGATTCAATTGTTCTACTGACTATTTGGTAAGTTATAGGTATCACACCTAGTGCTTTCTTCATCGCACAGAACACGAGCTAAGTGCACGAATGAACGAATGTAACACAATGGTGTGCCGAATGACGTGGATGCTTGACTGTGAGCCTTCAGATAAACAAGTCGAATGAATAAGTAGGGGTGAGAAAACGATGTTCATCGATGAATGCTGTGGCTAATAATTTTGGGGAACTACCTAACGCTATATTAGCTTACGAAAAGAACAGCATTTCCCTTCCATTATCCGAAGCGCTGTGATCTCATCTAAAGTCAACCAGAGCAGTCTATCATATAAGCAAAATCTAATAGCGAGATAAATTCAATCACCTGTTCATTCCATTAAATTAATATCACAGTATGATCTCAAAGGATTGTTTAACTCATACATTTATTTCATTTTAGCTATGTGCTGAGTTAAACTGTCCATCACTTCCTCACGTAAAAGAATGGGCTAGAAAACACTCTCCTGTTATTACTCCTAATTGGAAGGCGTCTTGTTCGCTTCAGCCTACAGGGTCTATGTTCCGTGGGAATGAGTATGCTGTATTTTTATACAATTCTTCATTCGGCATACGAATTTCTCGAACAAGTTTGTTAGAAAAGTCTTCAACTCCAAGGTCTGTGCTGAGAAAGTCGTTTACACGTAGTCCTTGCGGAGCGTCTTGTCACGTAAGTAACAAAACTGATATTCTCCACTATCGTAATTTAGATATTCGTCACATCTAAATGACCAAAAGCTTGGTCTTTTTCTTAACTCATTAATCCAAAAGGCTTAAACAATTTATTGATAATGGCAGAATAACTTTGCTGCAAATCCAAGGGATGAGTAAGAATTCATTTCAGTGCTTCTACGCCAGTGTACTTCTAATTCTTTCAAGCCTACTAAATTATAATCATTGTTTCCAAGTATGCAGATGAATGTTTTGTAATCGAAATACCGGAATTGGTGTTGCTTCACACTTGTTTCCTTTGTTTATACCAGAGTTGTGACTTGTAAGCTTATAGAGAGTGATAACAATCAAATATTTGTGACATCAGTGTTGATATTACAGTGCAGATTAAACTTGTATCACTAACTTTCAGATTCAAAGCACTAAATTGGTTCTGATCTCAGTGCACTTAAAAGCAAGTGGTTTACGAAATAGTCAAATTGGGCAAACTATTTCAGAAATTCAATCTCTCGGTTATCTAGTTCAAGCCTTTTACGAGACCCAACCCAGTGAGTGTTCGTTACATACCATATTTTGATTCTTGTATCTATTCTCTTTCATTAACACACAGTTTTTCCTAACTTTTTTTCAAATTACGCAGTCTTTAGTCCTTGAACTCCCTCTGGTTACAGTTTTATTATTCTACTGTTTTGAAATATTCTCATCATGTAAAGAATATTCCAAACTAATGTATTTTTACGCTGTAATATATTTGTTTCCTAAATGTTCATTATCATTGATAACTATTTCTGCTTGGTACAGTGACTGGTTACTATATCGCTAGTGATATCTTAAGGTTTTGTAAAATTGTGAAAGGTGAACTGCTCGTTAACTTGAGAAATCCACCCCAGTTAATTTTAACTATATAGTAGAGATTTTGTGCTTGAACTTTCTTCACCTGTAGAACGAACTTGCGTATATACTTTAGCTGACATATCACATCCAAAAAAGCTTAGTGTACGAGTAAAAACAATTTGGGAATTCGTATGATCAATTCACTTGAAAACGTGTGTTTCCGTTTTTGGAAAGCAAACCCAGTAAGTCGTTTGCAACATGCCTTTTCGTTTTTTAACTCGTTGGAGTGCAGTAGTTCATTCACTAATTGAACAGCATAAAAGACACCGCTTTTGACATTCTGACTCAAACATCTCTGTGGGTTGGATGTGTGGATTTTGGTTGTTTTGTTTATTGTTTCTATGCGACTACTAATTCAATCTGACTGTAAATGTTCCACGATCATTCTCATTTTAGAACTCAAAAATTTCGCTGTGTAGTAATACCTTACCTTATCAAATTACTCTATAATGCGTTGTGTGATAGATTTTAGAGAAATAAACCATATAATCAAAAACTTATTTGATACCCTTTTGTCACAAGAATAGATTTCCTCCGGTTCACGTTCTCTATGAAGATAGCGGGTGTAGTATGAAATCCCTGAGTAAAGAACACTTCGTCAGGAATGACTTATTTACCCTGATAATTATTTGTAACCCTCTATCAGTCTCAGCTTATGAATCGGTATGAACAAACAGAAGGGTAGAAGTTATGTGAAAATGTAATTATTCTAATCATCTCTATAATCAGAATGTATTACTTCTTTAGTTCGATACCTTTCAACGCACAACCTATACCTCATAATGTTTATGAGTTACTCGAAAGATGTTCAGTGGAAGATAGTAATTTTTGTTAGAACATTATTATCAGATAATTTCCTGAAATAATATATCTTCGATGGATATATTCTGAAGTCGTACAGTGAATAATACATCATATTTCAAAGATTAAGTTCCATAAAATATAGGGAAGTTATAATGATAATAACAGTAGTTATCGTAGTAACAATAATAATTGGGTTTGTAAAAGTTAAGTAATTATCAGCATGGGTGTGTTAGATTCCTAATCTGCTTGCTGTAGAATGCAAATGACTCATGAATGAAGTTATTGTCCAAGTCACCTAGGTGATCAAAATCAAGTACTCAGAAATAGAAATTCGAATCCTCACGTTCAAACACTTGTAAACCTGTTAGAATTCAATTATGCAGTATAGGTAATTCATATACTATCCTATTGCGCCACATTCATAGTGCGGACTGGTAATCCTACATAAGCTGAAGTAGCTGGAGGTGGATCTGAACTCTTGACTCACTATTTGAAAGTCGAGTGTGAAATGCGATGAATCAGATCACCTCTGCTCATTTGTATTCTGACAAGTGTTTTCCGCTCGAAGCCCATGGGAATAATAATGAACAAATGATAAAACGCATCTCAAAAATAATCTCTTGCTACGACTGATTCATAAGTGGATCATGTGACGTGGCTGTTACATAATGCTATTTCCTCATGTGATCGATTACAGTCCTTAACTGTGCCTTTGTTATTGAGACTCTAGTTCAAGCTCGTACACGCGTTATCTACAAGCCCACAAATAAAATAAGTGTCTAATATCTTCAAGTCACTGTGGTTTAACAGTATAGTGCTCTCTAGCCACGCCTCTGGTCCAGTTCGATTCCCGGTTGGTGCACTTCTAAACCTCACCCAATTCTCTAGCCTATAGTAAACTTATAAAAGAAGGAAGATTTTGTGTGGGGCTAGCGGTACCACTCCTTAAAAATAATACTGCCGCTACTGAAAATTCGAAACCTAAACCTTGAAACTCAATGTTTCACTTGGAACACAAATGAATAAATACAAAGATTTTCGGAAGTGACTTGGTACTTACTAAGGTACGCGTCTTTCAGATCGGTAAATACTTTAGCAGTAGGTAATATGAAAACAAGTATTCAGAGATATCTATATAGCAACAGTTATTTAGAACATTAGAGTAGCCGTATAAATAATGTAAATAGACAGCTAGCTGAGAAAGTATGAAGGAAGAAACACTGGAAGAAATTGAAATCTTGGGGTTTTATTTTGAAAGAGAAATCTAAGCTTCAACATTAACTTAAGAGAGTCCCGTTAATTTTCTTACTTGAGCATACTGGTATCATTATCTTTCTTAATGTAATTTAGTAGAATCTCAGTTCATATACTTTACTTCGTTTCTTCAATTAGGTGGAACGCATCTCATCATAGCCGGTGATTTCAATCTCTTTCCCACACATGAGGGTGAGTTTGAACTTATTATAAGTAAATACTATGTATATCCTACAACTGATTTCAAGAATTTATTATTTAGTTTAGTGTGGATTTTATGTTTAAACACTGATATGAATTATTTCTAACAGGTTGACGAAAATTCTACGTTACAGGTTGCAACAGTTTTATATTGCCTTAAGAATTTCTTGGTGTTTTGAAAAGCTTGGCACATCAGTATAGTTTCTGAATTGCATTTATCTTTTGTTCCTAAAATATTTAAGAAGTTTTTAACAGTATTTACAATTGACGGATATGTTAATTAGGTCGCTCCCTCTGTTACGGTGATTTGTTTAATCTCATTTGACATAATCATTTAGTGAAAATCAACTTAGTGGATAGTGTTTATTGAACCTGTTATCGTTTGGTTGTTCCCTTTTGGATTTGAAATTGATTGTGTGCCGAAGATTCACACCTAGATTATTATCTCCTTGAGTTTCATATCCTGTCACTTACCACAATTCTGCATTACAGATTAGCAGTTAGTGAACCTTTATCATCAGAATATCACCCTTTCTTTCAAATAAGTGTGAAGAATACAGCAGATGTGAATGCATCAGCAACTTGGGGTAAACACGATGAATAACGACCAAGGCGAAAGACTCACGAAATGATCAACAACCAATCAGTATCCCTTTGTTGAAAAGGATACTTTTTACGTGCTACCTTTGTAACAACAGAAGGCAAGACACGGAATCCAAAGTATAATTTTCATTGATCAAACCGCTGTTTATATATTTACCGTTTATATTCTTTAACCAATCACTGAGCGTGTGATTTTGGTTTACATCAAAGGACATGAAATAGAATGTTCAAATATACATAGCATTCTTTTGTTAATGCAGTATATAACTGCAGTATATAACCGAAAGCTGCTACCTTGACGTGGTGGTCGGGCTTGAACACCGCAATGACCCAACTAGCTATAATGGCTGAGACTTATGTCGCTTGAGGTCGTACCATGCCAGAAAGGTTGTTTGGATAGCGGTTAGACAAAAAGCAGTTATCAATCCAATGCTATGACTCAAACAAAATCACAAAATATCATGCCGGATCGGTCGGGGCCCGGATTAACAACGACCGCGCTTCCTGCTGCCGTGTCACAGGGCAGAAGTGATAAATATGCTACTGAGACACACCAAATAAAAAAGAACAAACAAAAACAGGCCGCGTGTGACCGGTCTCAAGCAGTTGTCCCCTGGGCTCTGCGGTTACGCAACCAACTTCCACGGTGTGGGCAGCCGGGAAGTAACAATCGCCCTCACAATCCGAAATGCACGCGAAACCTCTCTAATCCTCACTCATCTTTGTCTTCATCTTCATCTCTATTATCTTGCCTTCCTTCTGCTGATGCAACTCCTCTACTTGATGACTCTTCACTTCCTCTTCACTCTGTGCCCACTAAAAACGACGGAAGCCACGCCACCAATTTCATATAGGAGCATTTAATGTTAGAACACTTTTCCAAATAGGACAACAAGCATCACTAGCCAAGACTCTGGCACCCCGAGCCATTGATGTATGTTGTGTTTCAGAAACACGCATACAAGTCCCAAGTGTGGCTATTCACCTAACCCCACCTGGCCAACAGGATGAATCTGCAAAATTCACCTTGAGGGTGTCAGGAGATGCCACAGCTAGTTCACGAGGATTAGCTGGTGTAGTGATAGCTTTGAATACTAGGGCAGAAAAGACATTACTTGGCTGGATCCCGGTAGATAGTCGAATGTGTGCTGTCCGTCTGAACGGATCAGTAAAAAGGAGAAAGGATTGCACTACTCGCCGATGCCTTTTCGTAATCTCCGCCTACGCCCCCACTGACTGCAGTTCGGATGAAACGAAGGATGAGTTCTACCAAAAGCTGTCTAGTTTGCTGCGAAAGGCCAAACGCTCAGATATAGTCGTTCTAGCTGGTGACTTTAATGCTCAAGTAGGGAAATTGTGTCAATCTGAGAAGAATGTCGGTGGCACATACGGAATTCCGTGCCAGCGAACCGACAACGGTGACCGTCTCCTACAATTCTGTTCAGATAATCATTTGTTTCTTGTAAGCACTAACTTCAAACACAAGGAGAGACACTGTTTGACCTGGCGACCCCCATCATCAAATCAACGCTGGACACAAATAGACCACATAGCAATAAGCTATCGTTAGCGTGGGTCGGTAGGAGATTGTCGCTCCTTCTGGGACACGTGTATAGATACCGATCACGCACTGGTCCGCGCTCGTGTGTGCTTACGACTGAACGAACACTAGGAAACAGCTGGCGGTGAACCTATCACGTCCCCAGCTCGGTCAGGAAACTAAGTCCCTATTTGAGGAAGAACTAGCTAAACACATATCTGAGTTCGACAGCTGTGCTCACCCTGAAGAAGCCTGGAAGAATATTCAGTCAGCCATAGATACAGCTGTAAAAGCTGTGAATAAGGTAAATCCAAAGGTGAGTAAAAACCATTGGATTTCGACTGCCTCATCCGAACTGATAGATGCTAGAAGACTTATTCCGGCGAGCTCCGAATTCAATGAGGAGCGAGAGCTGCACAAAAGGAAACTTACGAAAAGTCTCCGCAAGGACCGTGAACAGTGGTGGTTGACAAAGGCGAAAGAGATGGAAAAAGCATCGGCGATAGGCAACACTAGGCAACTCTTTAGACTCATCAGGGAAACGGGTGGGAGAAGGCAAATCATAAGTGAGACTATTTCTGAGAAAAATGGCTCCTTAATTAGCTCTTAGGATAGACGCCTTGAACGCTGGAAAGAACACTTTGAGGAACAATTTAACTTGCCTACAGCCACACTGAACCTCCCCGCCATTCAGCACACACCCGAATGGGAAAGAGACACTGATCCGCCGTCTGTAAGTGAGGTCACAAAAGCTGTCTGTAATTTGAAACGAGGCAAAGCGGCAGGACCCGACGGAATTATTCCGGAGGTGTTTAAATATGGGGGTGACATACTAGTATATAGTTTAACTAAGGTACTAGGTAACGTCTGGGAATCAGAGACGGTTCCATCAGACTGGGGTAAGTCACTTATTATACCGATATTCAAGAAGGGAGACAAGTCCTCATGTGATAATCATAGGGGGATCAGCCTAACGAACATAGTTTCTAAAATCCTAGGCTCAGTAATCATGCACAGACTAAGCAGAACTCGGGAGGAACAAACGAGGGAAAATCAATCAGGCTTTAGGCCAGGTAGAGGGTGCATAGTTCATATATTCACTCTCCGACAGATCCTAGAATATAGACACACTTTTAGGCGTCCAACAATTGCCACATTTCTTGACTCGAAGGCGGCCTTCGACTCCGTGGATCGAAAGGTACTATGGCAATGTTTGACTGTGAAGGGAGTGGCAAGAAAGTACATTGCACTAATCAAGGCACTCTACTCAAACTCACGTAGCCGTGTAAGGGCTCATGAGGAATTGTCATCTGAATTGATAACAACCAGTGGTGTCCATCAAGGATGTCCACTTTCCCCATTTCTGTTTAACTTCATCATAGATATGCTAATGGAAGTATCCCTAAGTGAACTTAACGACTTAGGCATCGACTTGTTACCAGGGAGTAGTCTTATCGACTTAGAATATGCAGATGACTTAGCCCTGTTAGGGGAGGATGCTGACAAAATGCAGAGTCTTCTGAACACCTTGAGCAGCAATCTTCGTATGTTTGGCATGCGATTCGCCCCTGTGAAATGTAAGATGCTGCTACAGGACTGGACTACGTCAATTCCCAGCTTAGTGATAGGGAATGAAGTGATAGAACATGTTGACCACTTCACCTATTTGAGAAGTTGTATCAGCACCAACGGACTGATTGACGACGAAATCTCAGCACGGATCCAAAAAGCTCGAGCTGCTTTCGCTAACTTACGCCACCTCTGGCGTAGGCGTAACATCCGGCTATCAACTAAGGGACGTTTGTACTGCTAAGCAGTTCGCTCCGCCCTCCTCTATGGCTCCGAAACATGGCCAATACGAGTTGAAGACATGAAAAGGTTGACTGTTTTTGACCATAGATGTCTACGATCTCTTTCTCACGTTAGGTGGTATAATAAGGTAAGTAATGTTGACGTTAGGCGTAGTGTTGGGCAAAGAGGGAAAATCAATCGGAGAGGCTATATAGTTACATAGATTGAGATGGCTAGATCACGTGCTGCCCATGCCTAACCATCGCCTCCCCCGACGGGCATTACCAGCTGATATAGGTGCAGGTTGGAAAAGAGTAAGTGGTGGCCAAACAAAAACATGGCATCAATCCCTGACAGTTAAACTGAGTCAGGTAGGGAGATGCAGACTTCCGGGTTGGGGCCCTCGGGACCCTGAGAATCAATGGCTGGAGACAATAGGTGACTTGGCTCAAAATTGTTGTCAATGGTGCAGATGTATTCAGTCTCTGTAATCTTTCATATTCCTCTCTACCATTAGTCATTCTGTTTTACTCTTATACTTGTCAAAACTCTATTGATTCTCTTCACTCATCTTCTTGTCTACCTTTGTCTGCTATTTGGAACGTGGCAACTCGAACTGCTGCACTTTGGTGTCAAGTTCTATGTTGAATTCAGACAGACAGAATATCAAATACAATGTTCAAATAGATATATTGTGTGCAGTATTGAACTGAGGGAATAACATTCTGACCCTAATATCAATTAGACTGTTTAAATAGATATATCGTATTCTATTGCTAATGCCGACGTGAACTGTGGGAATATGTGAGAATAATATTCCGTTGGAACACATTGTCTATATCACACCACCACCACACCTTCATGGTCCTATCCTGACCTTGTTCTACAGTTTTTTTGCTGTTAGTGGACCTCTCGGAATCAACGAAACACATCTCTGCGGAGGAACAATAACCCTTCAAGAGTAATCACAAGAGCTAGATGGATATGCATTCACTGCATTACCGTCGCCAAAATGTGCACCACTTCTCAGCTTTTGTAGACTACAAACAAGCACTAAGGAGGAATTTCAGAGACCCTAAAAAATTAGAACTAAAAGTGGGTTGCGAAAAGAAATGGTATAAAAACATCGGGTGAGTTTATCTCTAGATGATACACCAATCAATATGAGTACAAGAAATCTAGAGGTAGTCGTCTCTAGCTTACCTGGCTAGGCAGCATCGTTTCAACAACAGGCGGCACGGATACGGATGTCAAAGCCAGCCGGGACGAGGTCAAAAAAAACAAGCATTCATTGCAGATTTCGAAGTGATGAATATCTTCCTCACCCTTCCGATCTTGGCTTTGACATCTTCACCCGCACCGCCTGTAGTTGAAACGATGCTGCATAGATTAGTGAAGGAGGTGACATCTTTCAGATTTACTACGATCATAGTGATTGGTGCTTGTTGTTGTTGGTGGTGGTTGGTTATCTTCATCACCTCGGTCTTTCCTAAGTTCACTCGAATTCCTGTTTCTGCTGTTTCTTCTTACAACTTGTTGGTTTTTTCCTGTAAGTCTCCGAGTTCGTGTGACGTTAAACATAAATCATTTACGAAATCCAGATCTTTTACAGTCTTCTTATCGGTCCGGCGTATTCTTGTCTTCTCACTCCCCACAGTCTGACAGTCCAGTCCAGTACAGTTAGGAATGTCATCGGTGGTAGTAAACAGTCTTCTCTTACTCCTGTCTTCACTCCGAAGGCTTCTCTGCGTTTTCCGTTATGGATCACTTGATATGTGGCGATTTAATTTTTCGCCTATTTCTTTTCACTTCAGATATCCAAAAGATAAGGAAATAGGTAGTGTTGACAGTTTTGAAATCTCGTTGCGCTGCTAGTTATTATTTAAAAAGTAGAAGCATCTTTTGTCGAAACGACTATTTTAAGCTTATCTTTAACTTTATCAAGTGATATGACTTTTGATTAGACGTTGTCTCTCTGTTGAGTTAATTGGTACAACCATTTAAATTATCTAAAATAGCAACAAGATATGAGCTCGGACACCTGATTTTCAACTAACAGACGATGGATAAGAACATTGGTCTACTTAGTAGTATTGTAGCAACAGATGACAAGGGCCAGGCAACAGATCGTTTATTAAGGAAAATCAACACATATTTATAGATTTTAATGTACATTATTGTAGATTATTGTTAGTAGAAAATACAGTCTTTTGATTGGTTGTTTCTCACAGAAAGTTAACCTTGCATCTCTTTGTGGCTGTGTCAGATCATCCATATGCTAACTGTATCCGCCTACGCAAAGCCTTTGTTCTCATTTTCTCACCACCAATATTGGGGACATAAACATTGACGTCAATTACTGTCTACCAACTTTGGCTAGCAACCAGCTCTCACCACAGTATAAGGATATCTAAATGTGTTTATCAGAGCACAAACTAGAGGCATACTCATAGATCAGTGTGCTGATTTGCACATACTCGGCAAGTTAATAGCGATCATCGACAGTTTTAGGGTCGCTTATCTATAAATCACCAAGAAGTTAAATTCAGTCAAAATGCTTTGAATACCTATTACGACTCATCTGAGCAACTAATGTGACAGAACTCTTAATAATAATAATAATTTACTTTATTCCAAAAACAGTACTTATAATACAGAATGGAATTCTCAGCATTTGTCACAATATTGCATCTGATTTACTCAAAGTGTATATAAAATTAAAAATTTAAAACAAAAATTAATCGGAGAAATTTGTCCACATTAACGACGTAATTATTAGATATAGTAATAATAATAATAGTAATAATAATAATAAATACTAATAACAGTGAGTTTGTTTCAAACGGTATTGTCGATTCAGTTTGGAAACTTTAGCATGTTATAGATTATTGGGTCTAATGTTTTGTAGATATGGTATAGTGAGGTGAAATACAAAATTAACAGTCATAATACAGCTTAAAATTATGTTCACAGTTATGAAAAATAAAATAAACAAAACGAAAAAATTGAGAGGATTATAAATAAGAAATACAATAACAATAAGGTTGAAGGAAATGGTCTACTTAGTGGAGCTAAGAAGGTTAGTTAGTTCATTTCTGACACTATTTTCATCACATAGAGTACGTGCTAAATATGGTATAGTGGAATTTTTATACTTAGACGTACGTGCATAAAGTCTTCTGAAAAGACTTCTTGTTTTACCTGAGGAGACACAAGGTTGGAGGTGAGGGTAAAGTGGGTGCTCAGAGTCTGACAAAATTCCTCTAGCGAATCTGTTGCATGACATCAAATGCCTATCGGTGACAATGCCAACGATATGGCCCAATGGGATACCACTAGACCTACTGACAGTCCTCAGAGTTCTACGGAGTATGACATAGTCCTTTTTTAGCAATCCAGTAAAGAATAAGGGTGAACAGTAAAGAAGAATAGGTAAAATACACGAGTTGACAAACTGTAAGAGGAGTGGTTGCGTTATGCCTGAGTGCCTTAACTTCTTAATGTAAAAAGTCAAACGAAATATTCTTTGAGAAATCGCTAAGACATGAGAAGACCAAGATAGGTCAGAAGAGAGAACTAATCCAAGATACTTAACTTCATACTTGCTTTCTATATCGTTATCATCGATTTTGCAAGGGTCATAGGAACCAACGGCTTCATTTAACTTTCGTTTACATCGGAAACTGAAATTAACAGTCTGACATTTGGAAGGATTAAGTTTAAGGCCGTTAGACGAAGACCATTTGCTAATTTCTGATAGAAAGTTGTTAATCTTAATACAGTCAAGTTGAGAGTTAACAGACATTGAAATAGTTAGATCATCGGCATACTTAACAAAGTTCATTTCCTCGGAGTGAGGCAAGTCATGCAAGAAGAAAGAAAACAGAAAAGGAGAAAGAACAGCGCCTTGAGGGACACCAGCCTGAGTAAGCAATGAAGTGGACGACTTTCCCTGATATACAGTGTATTGCTTTCTTTCTGAGAAATAAGAATGGAGCCATTTGACAACCCAACAGTCAGTTTGAGTTTCAGCAAGCTTGTTTAGTAAAATGTCCCTAGGTACTGTGTCGAAAGCAGATGTATAATCTAGAAATGTGCAGCGAACAAATTTAGCCCCCTTGTCTAAGCTGGAGACAATGTTATGATGCAGGACTGCAGCTGCGTCCAAAGTACTTCCACTATGTTTGTAGGCAAACTGTTTGGGATCATTAAAGGCTTTAAGTGAAGGCTGAAGATTAAGTCAGAGCAACTTTTCCATAGCTTTTAGAAAAGGGGAAGTAATAGCAATGGGTCTGAATTTAAAACATGTCGCAGTAGACGACTTAGGAATAGGTACAATTTTAATGTCCTTCCAAGCGGCTGGCACGACATTTTTGGAAAAAGAATCATTGAAAATGTCCATGAGAGGATAACACAGGATATCTGCACAATGTTTAAGAATAACACTAGGCAAACCATCTGGACCCAGGCTACAAGAAGGGTTCATAGACTGGAGACATTTTAGAACGTCATTTGTAGTAAATCCAGGAAAGCAGGTTTCATTAATACTTGTAACACTAGAAAGTTTGGCATTCGTGGGAGAATGTATGAAGGAATTGTTTAGTTTGGAAACATCAAGGGGAAAAAGAATACTGTTCATCTGCTTACCACCAGTAATTTCTTTGAAAAGTTTCCATATAGAAAGACGCATTTTTACAGGATATGAACTTTTGGTTGTAAATTGGATTCAATCTGTGCATTTTGGACTCTTGTGCTTAGTTGTGTTTTTAAACTAGTTGACTTATGTTTTCTACGTAAAAGATGTTTTAAACCAACTGGATAAGTATTAAGCTTTCCTCTATTTTCCATTTCTTTATCTTGACAACAGTGTTTACGTTCATTTTCTTATGGAGTAGATATATGAGAAATACAAGATCTGCTGAAAATTGTACGCTTTTCGGTTGTGTTTTATTCCTCATTCATTTTGTTAACACTGACATTTTTCTTCCTTAAAGTTTATCGTGCTCTGTATGATCATGGATTGTGGCCGGTTCTAGACGGTGAACAGCGAACATCTGTAAGTCGTTCCAAAGGTGGATATAATAATATCAAGGCATATGACAACGCATGGCTTTCTGCCGATTTATCTTTGACTTCTGACTCCGGTGCTTGCTGGACAGGTGATTCAGGTGTAATTGTAAAAGGACTGAGACATCCTTTGATACCAGAGGAAACTGGTGGTGCCAACGGTTTTGTCAGTGATCACGCTCCCATATGGTTTGATATCCGTGTACAATAATGACAATTTGTACTTGAAGCAAATTCGTTTATTGCAAAACTTTAGAAAACGTAAATACATTTATATTACGTAACAAATGATATTTATTGCAACATGATAACAATTTGTAATTTAAATAAACTTGTCTGTTGCAAAACTGAAAAAATACATAATTGTGTATTATTTAATAAATGGCATTATTTTTGTCAACCGTCAAGATTCATTTTCAGGACCAAATACCTGTTCGCAATCAAATCAACAATTTCTTTTCCTCAAGTTATAACTGTCCTGGTTAATTTCGTGACCGTGTGTTCTTGGTGTTCTCCGCATATTTTTAACCTGAAAGAATGTTTTGCCGATCGAATTATTAATGAAACACTCAAAATAATGCCTACAGTTCTCTGTAGCGACCCAAATTACTATTCCTCACATTTGAACATTAAGCTAGCGTTAATAGTAAAATGAGGAAAACCTAAATAGAATTAAATGACTTTAAACACAACATAATAAAATGAGTCGAAAAATGTGCTACTACTACTACTATTTCTACTAATTGAGAGTTAAAATGCATTTATACTATCGTGTTATAACTTCGGATCTCCAACTTTTGGTTCAGATTATTTCTAATTCTTTAGTTAGGTATATTGCGAAGCTCAAGATGACATATAATAGATTGGTGTATTTTCTTAATTTGGCTGCCGTTAAGTATCTTCCAATCGTATCTTAATGATTGGCAGACAAGCATTGGTGATGCGACCAACATAAAATCTAAACATGGGTTTAGCAGTATAGTTTAATGGTAATCAATTTGTAGGTGCATAATTCGTGCAAATTTCTTCTGTAGACTGAACACGATTCACAACTGTTCCATCGTTCCGTTGACAGTTAATTACTGCAATTTTATGTTTGTACTGTGCTTAATTCTCTTTTCTGAGTGCCCTGAAAAACTGATTCTGTTCTATAAATCCAAACCTGTAATCATTTAAGATTATTATCTACATTAGTGCGTATTAGTAACTTAAATGTAGGTGATACAAGGCAAGTGAAACTTACTAGCTCAAGTGTCTGTAACTGGCTATTGTTAGGAGTGCTCATAAGAGATGAACTTATCTCCACCGTAGGTATGAGTTCATTTTCTTCATCTCTATCGTCTGAAGCTTTTCGATCAGCCTGTATCTTAGAATCAGAACCTTCATACTTAACGGATGTGCGTTGGTGGCACAGCGGTAGAATGCTCGCCAACCACGCAAGTGGTTCGGAGTTCGATCCCCGACCGATGCACTCCTTTACCTTGCTAAGCTAGAAATAAGACTGGCAAACAGGGAAGGTTGGGCATTAGGCTAGCAACCCCATCCTGTAAAAGTAAATACCACTGCTACCGAAACCTAAAAGATCTAGCTTGAAGCCCGATGTTCCACTGGGAACGTTCAGGAATGAAAAATATACCTAACGGATGCAAAGAAAACTCTACTACGCTTGCTCGCTTGACCTGGTTGCCTTAATATGCTGGTTGGTGTCGTGGCCGATGTTCCATTAATACTCTGAAGTAAAAGTTTAGGTCACACAACAACTATTCTTACCAGACCGTCTAGATTTAGAGAAGTGGCAGGTGATCTCGGAGTTACTTTCTCAAGAGTTTCTTCTGGTAACTGAGTACTGATGGGCGGAGAGTTCGAGTAAATCTGGTGCTGAAATCCTCGGTATTCCTGATATAAGTATAAAACTTAGGCACTGTGGTAGAGAATAACTCCACTATGGATAAGATTTCATTTTGATAAATTACACAGTGTTGTACAGTAATATTAACTGATGACGTTTCGTTATCAAAATAAAATTTTATCCATAATGGAGTTATCCTCGGTATTCCCTTTCAATAGCTCGAAGTTTCAGCCAGGATTGTTTCCTGCTTCGCATCTTTTTGTTTCATCCTCCTTATTTCCCCACGTATTCTTTCTTTTTCATCACATAACTCCTTCAATTCTCTTTCCTGAACAATGGTTTAGTAGCACAAAGTAATTCACTTACTTGTTCTGCTGTTTTCGCTTGTAGCTTTTTGATTTCCTGTTCTCTCACTGCTTGTTTCTTCAGAATCTCCTTCTATATTTCGGAAAAGTCTCATTTGGTGGTTAAAACTTCCAGAAAATAAATGAATTCTTACTGTGATAAACTGTGTAGTTATTGCTAGTGAATTCCATAATTTGTTTTCACTTTGTTATTTCTTCTAGAAAGTAAGAATTATCTGAAGAACTGTACTTTGCACTAAATCTGCATGTATGACTTTGATAAAAGCTGTGAATGGCCACTGTATATAATTTTGGTACTATTCAGATTTTCTTAAAAGTGGGCTTAGAAATTTATATTCTGAATCCTTCAGGTTTAGCAGTTGCGTATCGTCGCTATATCGTGCTTACTGTCATATGACTAGTTTTCTATTTCGAAAAATCATCTTTGTCGTGTCGCTATTCAGTAAAACTACACAGGCTGTGTATTGTTTCAAGTCATTCTGACCTGTTTCCTCTATGTTTCAAAATCTTTCTTGGCCATTTGAGTGGGAAGATCTTTAACAAGATCAGTACGGTATTCTAGCCCATTTGTCTGAAATGCCCACGGTGATAGTTTCTGGTAGATAATTAAATGAAGAAGTTCCCTTTTGGATATATTCTGTAACATGGTTTCATTTGGGTTTTATCTACCTATGAAAAATGATCCTGCAATTATTTGAAACTGTCTACCTGTCGCCTTGACTCTGCATTATCTTATTTCGTTCTTACTTTTGATGTTGTGTAGTGTGGCTGTATGTAAATCTGATTCCTCATTGTCTTGCTGTCTTCTTTCTGTGAATCTGACGTCTAAGATATAACCATTAGGTCTCCTTTTACCTATTTACTCTGTCGACTTTATTTATTTTCAAACTTTACAAATACTTCTGCAATCACTATTCGTACTCTTACAAAAACTGTAAATTTCACGTGTGAACAGTACATTCGTTCACCGCTTCTTGTAGACACCTGTGTCTGAATAATACCACCTAAGTTGGTATCTATGCTCTGAACTGCCCTGATATGATGTGTGAACAAGTTAATTTCTCGAAAAGAAATAGCTCCGACTGCTTAAAACAACTCAATGTTCACCTGTCTTCACTTAAACGTTGTATTTAGGTGTATCTTTTAACTAGATGCAAATGCTATTTTGTGTCAACAATGTAAATGTATGCACAGCTACACTCCTACGATTAGTTAAAATTTAAATCCAGTTAGTTGAAAAAAATTTATAATTAATCTCGATGCTTGCAGGTCATTTTAATTTTTATATGACCTTTCTCTCAGTATGTTTTGCTACCTCGCATTCTATTGGAAATTTTTCGTTTGTCATTCTACACGTGTAGCTAAAATCAATAACACAGCTTAAAATTCAGTGTGTTTTTTATAGTCCAAAGTCTAATTATAATGTGATTGATCAGAAAAGGTAATTGAAAATTTATGGTCTCGTGCTTTTCAAATAAACTCATTTTTACACGAGACGATGTTTGACTCCTTGTTCTGTGGTACGTGTGCTAGAATTTTTCGTCTATGTGCTATCGATCAATTTATACAACATAAATCAGATGGCTGTTCAAGGCTGAGTTTTGGAAATGAGTTATTTTTGGAATGCTCTCATTGTGATGAATGTTACATTTCACCATTGGATCTTATTGCACATGTTGAATGCGCACATGGAATATCTATTATGAAGCATACATCAAGTATGGTCAACAACTCTAACAGTTTTCCACACGAAGTGATGTCTATCTCAGACACAACGAGTTCATCTTTTATAGTTGCTGATGACAAAAGTAGCTATAACTCTGCGAATTCAAATGACATAAACTCAGCTCCATGTGAGTCAGTGAGTCAAGTCCCATCTGTCTTAAGCTCTACCTCAACTGACTACACTTCAATCGCTCCGGGTATTTCTACTACTTCGGTTGTTCGTAAAACCTGTTGTCTTGTTGATGGAAGTTCTCCATGCACCCAAATGTCTTCGTGCCCAATTTTGTTTTCTCAAGAGTCAGATTGTGAAACGGAACAAGTATTCGATGATAACTCACTAAAGCCTCCAGATGATTCAAACCCAGATACCACCTCAGTTTGCAGTCAAATAAATTTATGTGCCCAGACAACCCCTGCTTCCAGTGAACGTAAGCCTTTATTAAATTTTGTTTGTGAATATTGTCAGAGGGAGTTCTCTCAAAAGGTTCACTTACAGAAACATATTATGTCAACTCATACCAAAAACAAACCATTCAAGTGTTCAGTTTGCTCGTATCAGACTGTGGAGAAAAGTCACCTGAAGACCCATTTCCGAAAACACACAGGAGAAAAACCATTTGCTTGTACTCTGTGCACTTACAGAGCAGCTCAACATTCTACATTAAAGCAACATTGTCTTAAGAAACATCACAATGCGTTTCTTTGTTGTAGAAATTGCAGTATCCGCTTTGTAACTCTAACGGAACTTGAAAACCATCAAAAGATATGTTTCCCTTAATTTGGCTTGTAAATAGCAGTTTGATTTAAATTTACTAAATAGACCTTTTTCCTTCATACAACAAACCGTTTTGAATTGATTATTTTTGTGTGAATATCAACTCATCAAAGGGGGAAAATCGCTAGAAACCCAGTCTGAAAATACCTTATCTTGATTCAATTCCTTATTCTTCGGGGAAATATTGTGTTTTAATTAGAACCTATTGCCATTTTATTACTTTTTGTGCTCTTGATGATTTTTAGACCAATGATTTTCTTTAAATTGTCGATATCATCCTGTTTTTGCTTCAGTTCAAGGTTTTTTTGATTTAACTTCTCCATTAAAGACAATATCTCATTGATCATGTCATCAGTTGGTTTCTGTAACTGAACTTTCATAGTTTCTAGTCTTTGATTTTGCTCTTGAATGGATTTTCCTCTTAACTTTTGCTGTTGAACTTCTTGTTGTGAATATTCCAGTTGCATTGTGAGATTATTTATATGATGAGACAACTGTATTTCTTTCAAAATATCCTTCTCTTTTTTTTCAATGTACGAAATATTCCCATATTGAGTCATAAGAAAAAGGCACAAACAGCGAAGAAAATTTTCTTTTCGACGATTCATTTTCATGAGCTGTACAATCGTAATTATAATTAACAAAGAAATCTTTAGACCAATCAGTTGCTGGTAAATTTTGTCCTTGGAAAATTGTATTACATGATGTAAGGTGTAAGAAGGGATGACTAATTGTAAGTTAGAAAGGAGACAGAAGTTGGCATGACGTAATAAGTGTGAGATAGTGAATAATCAATAATCTCGTGTAAAATGGGCAGGAACTAGTGGAAAGGCTATAAAGTGTTTTTTGTATAAAATATGTATGAAAAACAATGTTATTAATAAACAGTAGTAGAGTGGTAATAAAATGTGTATGATGGGGACAACATGATAATAAAAGTATTAATAAAATAAAATAATAATGGTAATAATAGTGAACTTACATAATAAAGAGAAGAAGCAAAATTGTGATAAGAACTTTACTCTGGCCATGGTAAGGCAAGAGAATGTATGTATCTCTTTTGTATGCAGAGGTCCGGTTTTAGATCTCGAATAGCTAATGCTTCAGCTATGTACAGATGGCGGATGCGAAGTCCCTTTGTACGATATTGAGGGACTCTGTGTAACACTGTGAAGCATTCACGTGGGGGTGCTCGATGTCCAGAGATGACAAGGTGTTCGAGGACTGAGCTGTTGCTATTCTTCTTTTCTCCTCTGGCCAACCAAGCGGGGCAGTGTTCCAGAATACGTTTTTGGACTCGACGTTGCGTACGGCCAATATACTTTGCTCCACACGAGCAAGTAAATTGATAAATACACATTGAGGTGGCCAAAAGCGGTATCTTGTCCTTAGCGTTAGACTGGATTAACTGTCTGCAGGCGAATGTGATACGTAGAGTGGCTGTTGGAAATGTCTTCTTCAGACATTTAGAAAGGCGGTTTCTGAGAATTTCCGCTGCGACATCACCTTTGAATTCTAGGTTCATGAAGAGAGTCTTCTTAGGAACCATTGCGATGTTTGACATCGGAGGCTTCTCCTTCATGTTTTTGTCAATAAATCTTGGTGGATATCCATTCTCTAGTAGGATTTTACGTAATAAATTTAATTCATTCTCCACCATGTCTTCCGAGCAGATTTTTCTAATCCTTGAGCACAACGTACGTACCAGGTTTCTCTTTCGGATTAGTGGAACGAAGCTCTGAAAGTTGATAAACTGTCCAGTCCATGTTGGCTTGCGCTATATTGATCTTTGGATCGTACAGTCGTGTCGTCTGGTGAGTAGTACATCAAGGAATGGAAATGCCTTGTTCGATTCTCTTTCTAAGGTGAAACTTATTGATGGATGCGCTGCGTTGAAGGTTTTGAGGAGAGAATCTAAATCACAATTTTCATCACAGATTATAAACGTGTCATCTACGTATCTCTTGTATAAGTGCAGTTGACTTATCAAGGGATTGAGGATTTTGTTTTCCAGACTCGCCATGAAGCAGTCGGCTATGAGTGGACCGAGAGGAGACTCCATAGCTACTCCATCTTTCTGTGCATAGAACTTTTCATTGAATTTGAACTGGATATTGAACGTACATCTGAGAAGAAATTCCTTCAGATAGTTTATTGGGAGAGGAACTTCTAGGTTGTTGGTTTCGATGTAATCACAAATGAAGCATATTGTTTCAGTTAGGGGGATGCTTGTGAATAGAGAGACGACATCTAGTGAGATCATTTGTCTTTCAGACACGTTGACATCCTTCACTGAGTCGATGAAGTCAAATGTATCTCTGAGGCTATATTTTGTCATATGTCTTTGAACTGGTTCGAGGATATCAGCTAGCCACTTCGCGATTTGATGATATGGTGAGTTAACCATGTCTATGACCGGTCGAAGTGGGACATTCTCCTTGTGCACTTTAGGCAGTCCATACAGTCTTGGAATAGTTGAACTGCAAGGTTTTATTTGCTCATAAACCTCCGGTGTTATGACTGAGTCTTCTTTCATTCTCTTCAGCAATTTTGTAAGTAGGTTTTCAGTTCTTTCGGTTGTGTCTTTCTGGTTGGGTGATTCGAAGAATTTGGTGTTATCTGATAGTATATCTGTCAACTTCTCATTATAATCGGATCTATTCATTACTACAATACCATTGCCCTTATCAGGACGGACGACGATTATGTCTTTATTTTCTTGGAGCTGTTTAAGTTGTCGTTTGTGTTCCCTGGTCAGTAGATAACGGTGGCTCGGTCGCGTATGAATGTACTTGTAACAGCTGTCAAGGATTGAAGCTTTGAATTTACACGCGATTATTGATTATTCACTATCTCACACTTATTACGTCATGCCAACTTCTGTCTCCTTTCTAACTTACAATTAGTCATCCCTTCTTACACCTTACATCATGTAATACAATTTTCCAAGGACAAAATTTACCAGCATCTGATTGGTCTAAAGATTTCTTTGTTAATTATAATTACGATTGTACAGCTCATGAAAATGAATCGTCGAAAAGAAAATTTTCTTCGCTGTTTGTGCCTTCCCTTTTTCTTGGTTGAGAACTATCAATTGATTTTTTAATTCTTGTTGCTCTTCTCTCCCCTATAATTACATAATATACGAAAATACCATTAAATTTCGATGAGAAAAAGGAAAGCTTGTACTCAGCATACGTGTAAGTGGTAAATAGTTAACCGAACAACATCAATGCAGAGACTGGCACAAAAATTAGTGACACGAGTTGTAACACTTCGAGAAAGATCACAAGAAAGTAGAAAACCAAGTAGGGTGAAAATATGACCGACGAAAGTGTACTCGAGAAGGGATAATTAGATGAAGGCTAATAAGAATTTTCAGAATCTGGAAGGTTCCAATGAGTAAATACATCAGATTCAGTCTCGTAGCATCCCAGTCAGATAGTCTACATCTCCTTAAGTATCTCAAAACAACGGACGAAAACTTTATGGATTGGTATTATGTTTTCGTCGTACAACACCTAAATGTTCTCCAGCTTAGCAGTAATTTAGCTGATATTGTATGTCAAACCTAATGGCTCGTCATGCGAAACACATGATAATTTATATTCCGTATAGACGAGTAGATTCACATGAAACGCGTGCCATTTTTACAGGCACGATCAAACACAGTCGATAGGGTCTCGTAACCTCTTCGATTTACTTCCTTCGTTTACCTGGAATTGCAGTCGTAACCTCACTGTTAATAACCATTTTCCTCCACCTAACACGAAAGATTGAACGGAGGCAAAAATGGTCAAAAAACATTAATCTTGATCACCAAGTATAACAGCCGTAAAATAGGACGGAACGAAGTGACGAGCAGCATACACATCCATTGGTGAGTGATCAGATATCACCCTGGATGTAAGATGATACAAGTTGACAAGTTCCAAACTATCCTTCTCTATTCTCGCTAGGATTTCGTCAGCCATCAGTTTGTTGGCGCTGGTACAGCATAATGAATAAGTGAAGTGGTCAAAAAATCCAGCAATATCACTTCTTGTATTGAAACTAGGATTCATTGCAGAATAGTCCTCTGTCGCAATCCGTCATTTGACATGGACAAAACTCATGCAAACACAGATAGATTTTTTATCCCAGGTGTTCAGAAGACTGTATTCCAACATAGTATTCACCTAAAAGGACAATATCATCTACATACTGGAGAATAACAAGTTCAACCTCCAGACATACTCTGAAACATCGGAGTCTATCAGAGCCAAAACTACCAGTGTGGTGAGAGCTGGCTGCTAGCCAAAGTTGGTAGACAGTAATTGACGTCAATGTTTATGTCCCCAATATTGGTGGTGAGAAAATGAGAACAAAGGCTTTGCGTAGGCGGATACAGTTAGCATATGGATGATCTGACACAGCCACAAAGAGATGCAAGGTTAACTTTCTGTGAGAAACAACCAATCAAAAGACTGTATTTTCTACTAACAATAATCTACAATAATGTACATTAAAATCTATAAATGTGTTGATTTTCCTTAATAAACGATCTGTTGCCTGGCCCTTGTCTTCTGTTGTTACACCAGTATATGGAATGAGATTAAATTAAAATGATGGCAGTGGACATCCATAACGAGCAGTTGTAGACAAAAGTGACATCATCATCCTTTACATCTTTTGTTTAGTTCCCGTGAATATAACGCATCACAGTAGACTTTATTGCAGTATTACCTCCAAAACTATTTCTCCTCAATGGCTTATGTCTGCGTAGACACGTTCCGCTCCGAACATTACATTTCTAATCTGATGGATAATATCATGCACTACCATTTAGAAATTATATGATTTTCTCAAGGAACAGATGAGAGATGCGTACTTTATGTGTTTATAGTACAAGAGAATATTAGGTTTTCTCTCAAGAGTTAGCGAATAATTTTATCTACTTGACACTTGCTTTATATATGTTAGCTGAAAGAAATCATGCAACATCGACCTTTATTCTCAAATAATGCAAAAATTGACAGTGTAAAAACTAGATATGATGACTTCTTCGTACTACAGCCTTCCAAGTGACCCCAGTATCTTCAGGTATGCAGTGTGAAGACAAACTCTTACCGGGTATCTCCTAACTGAGATCACTTGTGTTGTCAGTAAGACAGCCATCTGTCTGTTAAATAGAAACTACCTAGTATAGAATTGCCGTCCATCATTCTTTATGTGTAGGGAGTGGGTGCTGGGGATACGAGAAGTCTCAAAGATTGCTCGTCTTTATGACACCGTTTCGGTTTGGTGGAATCACATAACGACATGCTAGCATTATAAGCATAATTTTGAGCAAGAAGCACAAGTCATATATATATCGGTCAGGTTACCCTGATCGAACTGAGTAGACATGTGTTATGAATACTCAACTGCCGTTCAGTATGATATACAGTGTTAGTGGAAGTATTACCTTATTAAAAGAAAAAAGGAT